GCCTCCAGTCCCCTAATCATCTTTGTTGCTCTTCTCTGTACTAGAGTCTTAACATCTTTTTTACATTGTGGTGACCAAAACTGGATGCAGTATTCCAAGTGTGGCCTTACCAAGGCATTGTAAAGTGGTATTAATACTTCACGTGATCTTGATTCTATCCCTGTTATTGCAAGCTAATTCTGCCCACTGCCAGGAGTTCAACCCCAACCGGCTCAAGGTTGACTCAGCCTTTCATCCTTCCGAAGTTGGTAAAATGAGGACCGAGATTGTTGGGGTGGGGGCAATACGCTGACTTTATAAACTGCATAGAGAGGGCTGTAAAGCACTGTGACACGGTATATAAGTCTAAATGCTATTGCTGTTTGTGACCTTCCCAACTGACTTCCGACAAGCAAAGTCAATGGGAGAAGCCGGATTTGTTCAACAACCGAATGATTCACTTAAGAATCGTGGCAAAAAAAGTGTGGCTCATTTAAAACAGCCTTGTTTAGCAAATGAAATTCTAGTTCCGCTTGTGATCATAAGTCAAGATTACCTGTGTAGCAAAGTTACTTGCGACTGCTACCAGCGTTGCTTTTGTGCTCAATCATGGGTTTTAAATTTCATTGAAGCTTAAAGATAAATGCTGTGTTTTGTGATTTTCATACTTTGACTCATAATGAGCCATGTGTTTGGTGTTCTGCTTATCATGTTGTCATGAACATAGACTGTTTTTATACAGCTTTTCTCAGCTGCTCTCCTCTCCCAGAATGAAACGGCCTGAATTACAAAGTGAAATGTTTCTTGGTACACTCTTCACTATCCTGATACACAACCTCTGCAGTTTGTGAGAGTTGTCAAAAAAAAAAAAAGTTGGCAGCTGCAACTACACAACGCAAGCCTTGACACCTTTTTATGGCACATGTGAAAAGAGGTGGGACTTTGTATAGCTATGACAGCCAACTTTATCTCTTAAAATAAATACTCCTGTTCGTTTGCTTAATTTTGGATCCCCCACAAACCCCCACAAATGCAGAAAAACAAACCCCCACAAATGCACACAGGTTTTTTTTGCTTTTGAAGCCCTTTTATTTAAATTCAAATATTGTCGGTTCACATTTTGTCCATCAATCCTACCGCTATTTCTAAGATAAAGACAGCATGCTTTCTGCCTCGGCTTCTCTGCCAGAGAAATGCATGTAGTAGCTCTATCTATATTGCTACAGAAGAGCAGATCCAATTTTTTGTTTAAAAGAAAGAACATGGATTATTAAAACAGAGGGAAGCTGGGTTAAAATACAGGCTTTTAAGAGATTTAAATACCTTCATTCACAATATGCACCCCTGGGCAAGTCAAATGCCAGAGACCATTCATACACAGACATTGTCCACAGTGAAAAGTTTTATGGCATCCTTGAAAGTTTACATTTTCTAATAAAAGTGTGTGCAAATTAGAGCTATCTCTACCTCTTGATTGACATATCAGCTGGGAATCAATAGAAGATATTTGTAGCTCAGGATTGAATTGTGGGGTCCTGGTACTCTCTGAGCTTGGTGGTTTTCTTGTAGACCTTTTATTACCCAACTAGGTAACATCATCAGTGCTAGGCAGCACGGATATTATTACCTAGTATGGTAATGGAATGCCTGCAAGAAAACCACCAAGCTCAGAATGCACCAAGGATCCCACAGCTGGTAGTCCCTATAAAACCAGAGACAGGTTTGATCAAAGAAGCATGCCTGTAGACCAGGTACTCCCATACTATGGTGTCCTCCAGTACAGCTCCCATCATCCCTGCCTGCAGTGATGGGAATTGTAGTTAATAATTCCTGGCAGGCCCCAGATGGAGAAGGCTGCTTTATATCAATTAGCCCCTTGCACCAGGATAATATTATTTGCCAAGGAAGCTTTCACTCTGAAAAGGGAAGCCTCTTAAAAAGCACAGCTAGGAAGGTTTCACAAAGCATTACATGTTCAGCTTAACATGTTATGCAAATTCAATCTCTATCTCCACAGGCTGAAACCTAGGATAGGAAGCTAATTCATTTCTGCTAAGAAAGCTAGCACGACAAAGTGATTCAAATCATGATTTCTTTTTTTTCCAGCATATCAAAAATTAAGGCAACTATCCAATGTTTGAAAAAGCAATGAAGTTTAAATATATTAGTCCCGAAGTATCTAGTCCCTAAGACCTTTATGTAGTATGCAGATACCTAGACTTAAAAGCTTTATTTTGGTCATGGTCCCTTGATCCGTTGTATAGCAGCAGAAAAAAAAATATTAAGCCCTATCAAACTGAGGAGGGGGGCAAAGGAGAAAAATAGGACTTGACATCTGAAAGTTTTTTTTTCAAGCTCCTAGACCTCAACAGGCTAACCCCCCCCCCCCATTCTTGCAACATGAAATCTCTACATCCATAGGGATGTAGCCTGAGTAACAGTGACCCTTGCAGAATCAAATCTTAAAAACGATGAAGACCAATAGCTACACATTGTTAGTTTTCCAGTATAAGAAACAGTAAAAGAAAAAATCTAATCCAGCATTACCCCTGTGATCATCAGTAAGTAGCTAGCTTCTGAAAAAGTGGTCAATCATTTTGCTCGCAGAATGTAACTGAATTATCAGAAAATGGAGAGAGGTTTCATCTGGGCTCAAGCTCCTTTTTGTAACAGCAGCAGGCCAAGGATGAATTAAACCAATTCATTCTCAGCTTGGGTGGCTGGGGAATTCTGGGAGTTGAAGTCCAGACATCTTGAAAGTTGCCAAGATTGAGAAAAGCTGAATTAAACCACAGAATTCTTCAAAACTTAAGTGCCGTGTAAGTAAAAAATGATCCTAACTAGCATCTACTTTCTACACTTCATCACCTTTGATTAAAAATCTGATACAGATTCCAAAGAGGGAGGGAATGAAGGTGAGAATGAAAAAAAATGCCAAGGGTCTAGACAGAATTATGGAAATATTCTGGAAAGAAAAGCATTCGTTTGTTCACCAAACTAGTTTAAGGTAATCAGGGGTGTCCAACCTTGGCAACTTTAAGACTTGTGGACTTCAACTCCCAGAATTCCTCAGGCATGGAATTTGTTGGCTGGGGAATTCTGGGAATTGAAGTCCACAAATCTTGAAGTTTCCAAGGTTGGATACCTTGAAGGTAATGAAGCTTCTACTCTCCGCTAGGCAGTTACCTTTTTTTTTATATTCCAGTTTTATATACCTTTAGTGCCATTTCCCTCCAGTCTAGATTATTAGGCTGCAATTTACAGATTTCCCAACTAGCACAGGATTTTTCAGTTGAGCTGGCTGAGAACTGTGGGGTTTCATATCCCAATAGTAACCAGGCTGGTGAAGGTAGCATATCCATTTCCCTTTAATAGCAGAGGAATATTTCTCAAGGAAGATTTCAGTGCTTGAATTAAAAGCCTATCAATATCCATTACATGATTTTGTTACAGCCACAAAGGCCTTAAGATGAATTCAGACAGCTGTTAGACCGCAGCAAAAATTGAGTTTCCAGCATGTATGTGCTACCCTCTAGCTGTGGTCTGGATTTATATAGCCTAGATGTGATCACCTACTGTAAAATATGTAAAGGTGATCAGAATAATTCCCCTTGAGCACTGGAAAAAAGAATAAACTTTCCTCCTGTTTCTGGATCTTATGGGTGTGAAATCACAATTGAAAACGTGGGGAAATGAAAGTACCTCATCCCAGCTCTTGTTATGGGTCCATCCAGCCTGGTATCAACTATTCTGATTGGTTGGAAATTAAACAGGGAAAATTCTATGCAGAACTGAATGGGAACTGAGGAAAATTTCTGGTTGTTGGAAAGGAGGTTTTATTTTCCCTTCAATGTCTCCTGATGTTACTTGGAGGAAGCAGGCTAAGGCTCCAGGTGAGATGAGGCATTACAGGTAGTCCTCAACTTACAACAGTTCATTTAGTGACCATTCAAAGTTACAGCAGCACTGAAAAAAAGTGTTTTATGCCCATTTTTCACACTTACGACCGTTGTAGCATCCCCATGGTCCTGTGATCCAAATTCAGATGCTTGGCAACTGGTTCATATTTATGACGGTTGCAGTGCACCAGGATCATGTGATCACCTTTTGTGACCGTCTGACAAGCAAAGTCAAGGGGGAAGATTCATTTTACAACTGTGTTACTAACTTCAACAACTGTAGCGATTCACTTGACAACGGTGGCAAGAAATGGGGCAAAATTCACTTAATAACTCTCTGGTTTAGCAACAGAAATTTTGGGCTCAGTTGTGGTCGTAAATCGAGGACTACCTGTACACAAACCCCACCGAACCCAACAATACCAAATTTCACTTGGGTAATGCAAACTATAACAAGCCAGATGAAGGAGCATTGGGAAGTTTCCAGTGATCTCTGGCTTGTTCAACAAAACATGGTTTAAAAAAATTCTAAGCTAGGCATTGTGCCTAACTACAGTTGTAAAAAAATGATTTTCAGACTTAGGAAATGGCTTCTCTTTCTGGACATACGAGGTTAAAATTCGCAACTCTCTCCACCTGCACATGTATAATTTAAAGAAATTGTCCTGGATAGTGTTGATTTTTTTAAAAAAAGTGTGAAATCAAAACTGTATTTTTATTATTTCCAGTATCTAGAACAGTGTTTCTCAACCTTGACAATTTTAAGGCATGTGGACTTCAACTCCCAGAATTCCACAGCCAGCATTGCTGGCTGTGGAATTCTGGGAGTTGAAGTCCACATGCCTTAAAATTGTCAAGGTTGAGAAACACTGATCTAGAAGAAAGTTTGGGCATCAGGGAAAGTTCACACGATCTTTGTCTAACCCTTGTAACATTAAAGATCAGCTTTACTCTCTTTCTTTTTTAAAAAAAGGATAAACACCTTTATGTTTTCCTATCCTTGCAGGGTAGATGGGAAATGCAGCTTGGACAACTTTTTTTTCCTTTGAAAAAAAGTTAAAAATACACACATTACAGAATTGCTGGACTTTGCCAGGAATTGCCCAGCGACGGTTTGGGAAAAGAAGAGAAAACAGGGCAAGGGAGAGAATACATCCAGTTCACTGGTCCTCCTGATAGTAATAATAGTTGGCTGAGTTCTGATCCTCAATTGGGGCTGCGTTGCTTGCCACCCCAGCGTTGCTTTGGGGGCAATACTTGGGGTCATAGATTTGGCGACCCAAACCAAACACCTGCCCGCTCTGGTTGGCACCCTGATTGGAGCCCATCTGGAGGGACATGGAGCTGTCATCGCATTTGTCTGTGCCCAGCTTGGAATCATAGATGTGCCGGCGGGTTCCTGGAGCCGTCATGCCCACCTGAATGGGAAGAGAAAACAGATAATGTTTATTGTCGTTGTCCTATATTCACAATGGCACACGTTAAAATGAAACTCCGATGCGCCGCTCTCAAAAGAAGGAACGCCAGCCACCAAACAATGTCACCATCCCAAGGATAACTACAATAACATAATAGCAACAGAATCCAAAAAATGCCAAGTTATACCAAAACCTATATATAAAAATATTAATCACAGTCCTTACCCCCAGACATTGTGGGCGCTCCATCACTGGAAATTTTTAAGAAGAAACTAGACCAGTGGTTCTCAACCTTTTTAATGCCGCGACCCCAACCAGTCGTAAGTCGAGGACTAAACCGGTCGTCAGTCGAGGACTAAACCGGTCGTAAGTCGAGGACTACCCAACCGGTCGTAAGTCGAGGACTTTCCCTGCCTGGGAGCGCTGCGCATGCGTGGTTCCGCCCCCTGCGCCAGCCGAGGCGTAGCTGGCAAGCGGCAGAGACAGAGCAGGCCGACCACCAGCTGGCCCAGCCCAAGGGAGGTAAGGCACCCGCCGGAAAAGGGGGGAAAAAATGGCAGACAAAAAAATGGCGGACAGCCTTGCTTGGCGACCCCCATGAAATGGTCGATCGACCCCAAATGGGGTCCCGACCCACAGGTTGAGAACCACTGAACTAGACAATCACTTGTCTGAGATGGTATATGTTCTCCTGCTTGAGCAGGGGGTTGGACTAGAAGACCTCCAAGGTCCCTTCCAGCTCTATTCTATTCTAATTTTGAGTACATAGCGGGGGGAAAAGAGTCTTGAGAGTTAACAAGCTAGATATTATATGGTACAAAGCTATTACAGAATCTAATTGTTCTGCTTCAGGTACCACGAAGCTGGACATGGAGAGGAACTGTACTGTACTGTCCCAGACAATACTGCGGACCCTGGTCAAGTACCGCTTATATGCCATGTCCTGGATAGAAGAAGGATGTGAACTTCCAATAATCTTTTCCTTCACACTCACCACTCTTTGCACAGCCTTTCAGTCTGAAGCAGTAATACTTGCAAACAATGAATGAATGAATGAGTGAATCAATCAATCGGATGAATGGATGAAATGAATGAATAAATGTTTATCACAACCAAAGGTAAAAGGTATAACTGGAAACAACTAAAACATCTCTATATAAATAAAAATGTAAATGTTCGTTTGTTCAAAATCTTAAATCTCCGAAAGTTCTTCACCGATTGCTTTGAAATTGTTGCATTCGAATACGCGCGCGTTTTTATATACCTATATTATATAGATGTCACACCTGTGACAGGTAAAAACATGCTTAAAAAAAAACAAACAGCGCCTCCTCGCATTCCTATGATTCCAACGGATATGCCATTTCAATTTAAGAGATTGCAATTCCCAATTCGATTGGCGTTTGCAATCACCATCAACAAAGCTCAGGGCCCATCTTTAGAATTGTGCGGTTTAGATCTAGACACGGATTGCTTCTCACATGGACAATTATATGTTGCGTGTTCTAGAGTCGGCAAACCAGACAATCTCTATAATCTGCACAGACAATGGAACAACAAAAAATATTGTATACCCACAAGCATTGTGAAATTAAACATATTAGAAACGTGCGCTTTCTCTTTTCTTTCTTTTCCATTTAACCAGACTGAGCCACAGCAACGCGTGGCCGGGTTCAGCTAGTAATTAAATAAAAGTTAACTGATATAGGTAATTGTAACGGTTGACACAAAAAGTATGTCACAGCTGTGGGAGGTCTTTTCATCAAGAGGAGAGAGACCAAGATTGCATTTTCTTTGGAACAGAAATGGCTGGCTTATCTGTAGTGCAAAGCCATAATATGGTTTGCTTTTGGCTTACAGTGATGTGCTAAAGTTGTTTCAGGGAAAAGGTTGTGGTTAGTCATTAGCAATTGGAAACATGGCTGATTAGTCTACAAATTCTGGCCTGGTTGATGTCTGGGGTCAGATACCATGCTTATTTCTGGCATGTTTTCATGTCTTGTCCAATTTTCCTAGGTAGTGTCAGCAGAAATGGAGAAAACGAAGAAATGACACAATAAATTGTAAACATTTTGCTAATCGGAAAAACAGCCATTGAGTTTGTGTATATTGCACCAAGCCAAACCATGGTTTGTAAACCTTGGAATAGGATTCATTGCAACATGTTGAGTTTACCTGGCTCATCCAACAAACCATAATTAAATCATGGCCTAAAGCATGAAATGACCAAGCTGAGATATTCTTGTCAAGGTTTATCAAAAGGGGGTAATTTGCTGATGCTGTATCTCTGCTGTAGGCATGGATCCTGTAAATCAGAGGTGTCAAACTCAATTTCATTGAGGGCCGCATCAGCATTGCGGTTGCCCTCAGGGGGCTGGGTGGGTGTGGCCAGGGTAGGTACAGCCTACTGGGTGGGCGTGGACAGAGTAGGTGTGGCCTACTGGATGGGTGTGGCCAGCTCTACATCTTTCGCGTCAAGGGTGCCTATGGGGGCCCGGGCAGGAGTGGGATAGATCTGAGGGTCTCTGGCAGAAGGGGGTGGGACCAGGGCAAGTGCCAAGGCATGGTCCACTGGAGGAGCCTCACCATTCCTCTCAGGCCAAGCTGGGGGGGTGGGCTTATGGAGCTAAGACTAAATGCATTTCAGCATAGATGGCCACCACAAAATTGTACATTGGCTCTCAGCTGGCCTGGGCCAGGGCCAAGGCAGAGGGGGCCGTTCCCTCACTGTTTCCAGGATGGCTTCACAGGCCACGTGAAACCACTTTGCGGGCAACCACTTTGCGGGCCACATCCGGCCCCCGGGCCTTGTGTTTGACATGTCTGCTGTAAATAATCAAGTATATTTTTGGGGAAGCCACCAACCTGTTTTGGCTTGGTAGACTGAAGCTCTTTTTTATAAGAGTTTTAAAAAGTTAAAATAAAGATTTAAACACTTCGTAAGAGTTCTTACCTGGCTAGCACACTTATTGGTACCCATCTGCAAACTGATGGTGGAATGGTCCATTGGGGGTAGTATCTGGTTCTTGGGATCATAGAGATGCCTCCTGGTTCCATAGGCAGTCATTCCTGACTGGCTAGCGCACTTGTTGGTGCCCATCTGAAGAGAAACAGCAGCTTGATTAAGCCTTAATATGTCTGATATACTACATCTACAATAGATGTCTGGATTTCATCCACTGGGTCCATAGATGTCTACCAGAGGAAAACAAGGGATGAAATATGCATCGTCCTGCAAACTCTGCCCCTTATATTCTTGCATGTGAAAGAGCAGAAGTTGTGTAATGATGCCACGACACGTTTCTTCATTTTGGTGTCATCTAGCTTAGGAATGGACATCTTATGACCAGTTCTTCAAGCTGCTAACATTGTTTCACATCTTCTGCAACCTGTTCCTTCGTCTAAGTCATTAGGGCTCAGCAAATCTTTGGATACGTATAATATTCAAAAAGGATGCACTTGGTTTAAGGAATTGCAAATGGGTCCTACATTTTGCATGCTCTTCTGTTTTGCCTTCAAAACTAAGGTGCTTCACAATCTTACTAAGCAATGGAAAGACGTGACAAAGAAAGCATTTTTATAGTAGAAAAAGTTCTAAAAACTGATTGTGCAGCTTAGTCTTTTGGCCATATGCTACACCAGCTTAGCTCTCCCACTGTTTCTCAAGAGCCACAAGGTCACCAAACTTACCTGTAGACCGATGACACAGTGTCCAGCCTTGAGTTTTTCATCGTCAAAGGCTCTCTCCTGTTTTTCCGAATATTTCACCCCAATGTCCATCCCACTTTCAATACCTTTTGTTTTTGCCTGCAAGGAGAGGTAAAAAAACCCCTGAATTATTCCTGCATACAAGTTTCAGGTCCTTCCCAATAACTTCACAGTTCTCATGATTAAGAACAACCCTAGATTTCAGCTACATAAGCTGGTTGAATTCCATACTCTGGTGACTGTTTCTGTCAGCTCTTTACTAAACTGTTTTGTAAAAAGAACACCGGAGAACAGAAGCAGCTCTAGATAAATCAAACATCTTGATAGCCATTGTGAAACTAGCACTCTCCAGGGGAGATCCCCACAGGGATATCTGAAAGGGAGGTAGGTGATAAAGGCAAGATGGCGGCCACAATCATGGAATTAAACCCTGCCTCCTCTCTTAAGAGGCAGACAAGATTGAAGAAATCAAATGTCACGTAAATCAGTACTACTATTATTTTAATACCTATAGTGATAGAATCTTGCAAGGTCGCTTGACAACAGTTCAAAGTTATGACAGACTTTGAAAATGGGACTTATGACTTGGATTTGAAGTTCCAATGTCCCCCCACCTCTGTAGTCATATGACCGCATAATGTGGGCTCAGTAACCAGCTGTGATGACTCCCCCCGGGTGCTTCCCCAGATACTTCTCTAGATGTCACCTCGGAGGAGGGTGAGCCAGTTCCAGGCATGTCTGGAGGAGAGTTGGTCAGTGGCTCCAAGCAGCTGTCTGAGAGGGATTTGGCTGAAGCACAGGTGCAGCAGGACAGCCCTGAGGCTTCAGCTGGGAAAAGCACACTAATGAAGAGGAACTGCCTTCTGTACCTGATCCAAGAATACGTAGGGCAGAGAAAAGGCAGGAGCAGAGAAAGTCAGCCAGATTACTCACAAGGAGAAAGCCCCGCCCTTCTTCATGGGCTGCACCAGGAGCTGGCTATTTAGCACAGCAGATAGATGGAGGCGATGCTGTGAATGTGTTCATTTCCTAGCTGTGTGTTTTCTGGTCATTGTGATTCTTGCCTCACTTTGGAATGATGCGGTGCCTTGACTTGGATCGTGTCTTGTGACTGCCCTTTTCCCCTCACTCCCTTTATCTTCATGTGAACTAAGGCGGGCTTTGTCTATTTCCTCATGTTACTTTATTGGCCTGGACTCAGATCCCTTTTAACTGACTATTGCCTTGGTACAAGTAGTCTTCAAGTTACAACTGTAACTGAGCCCACAATTTTTATTCTAGGTCAAGGGTCTTCAAACTTGGCCTTTTATGATTTGTGGACTTCAACTCCCAGAATTCCTCAGCTAGGCATGCTGGCCTAGGAATTCTGGGAGTTGAAGTCCACAAGTCATAAAAGGGCCAAGTTTGAAGACCCCTGTTCTAAGGCATGACAATCATACAACAAGTCACCACATGACCAGACCTGATTTTATTGGGGGGGGGTGTGGTAGTCGCTAAACAAATGCAGTGGTCATCAATGTGGACGGGTGTGTTGTCCTGCTCACACACACACATACACACCTGTAGTTTAGTGTGTTTATTAATATTCCCCAGCAACTCCCTTCACCAAAAACCCAGACCTGCCCCAGTTAAGTCCAGCCACAAGCAGACCAATGTTAGTCCACAGAGCAATGGCCAATGAGTCCACAAGCCACTTGAAAGTTTCCCAATCTAAATCAACCCACCAGGCAAAATTAAATCCACAATACAAGAGGGTTCACGAGGCAAGAAAAATCCTAAGTTCACAAGACACGATCCAAGTCAAGGCACCGCATCATTCCAAAGTGAGGCAAGAATCACAATGACCAGAAAACACACAGCTAGGAAATGAACACATTCACAGCATCGCCTCCATCTATCTGCTGTGCTAAATAGCCAGCTCCTGGTGCAGCCCATGAAGAAGGGCGGGGCTTTCTTCTTGTGAGTAATCTGGCTGACTTTCTCTGCTCCTGCCTTTTCTCTGCCCTACGTATTCTTGGATTTGGTACAGAAGGCAGTTCCTCTTCATTAGTGTGCTTTTCCCAGCTGAAGCCTCAGGGCTGTCCTGCTGCACCTCTGCTTCAGCCAAATCCCTCTCAGACAGCTGCTTGCAGCCACTGACCAACTCTCTTCCAGACATGCCTGGAACTGGCTCACCCTCCTCCGAGGTGACATCTAGAGAAGTATCTGGGGAAGCACCCGGGGGAGCCATCACAGCTGGTTGCTGAGCCCACATTATGCGGTCATATGACTACAGAGGTGGAGGGACATTGGAACTTCAAATCCAAGTCATAAGTCCCATTTTCAAGGTCTGTCATAACTTTGAACTGTTGTCAAGCGACCGTTCGTAAATTAAGGACTATCCGTAGCAGTTCTTCCTCCTGTGCTTCAAGGTCATTCCTTCTGCTCTTTACATCACCCTCTTGACTTTTTGATGCCCCTCTGCAGATGTCCCCAATGACAGTTCTACTTCAACCTCATCTTAAAAGATATGGAAAGGCTATACCAGGGGTAGGCAACCTTGGCTCTTTTATGACTCATGGACTTCAAATCCCAGAATTTCTGAACCAGCTATGCTCAAATGGATGTCTCTGCCAATTTGGGAGTCAGATTCCAGAATGGTGCTGGGTGTCTTCTCCAATAAAGTTTAGGATAGGGGTAGGCAACCTTGGCTCTTTTATGACTCATGGACTTCAACTCCCAGAATTCTTGAGCCTGAGTCATAAAAGAGCCAAGGTTGCCTACCCCTGGGCTATACCAACCAGGGTAAAGTACTTATGTTTGTAGAGAGCACAACATGGCTATCTGTTTCTTTTCCTTTTGGTTTCCCCCTTCCCCTTTTCTTTCCTTCTTTCCAACTCAATGGAATGTTGTAAATATATCTGAGGGAGAAGGACAGTTAAGAAGTGTGAAATCTAAATAAATAAATAAAACGTATTAAATTTTATATAAAATTTAATATAAAAGGGACTTGGGATTCATCTTCTCCCTGCTCATCATCAGGATAACTGGATAAGCAGCAGTCACACTGGCTAGATCCAAGAGCCAAGTTCACAGGAAGTCTACTTTTATTGGAAATGGTTTTAATGACAGAAACTTGTAAGCCTGATTGTACTGTGTCCCCCCCCCATACACATGCAAATTAGGGAGGTGTCTGTCTGAGCCATTTATGCATGCTTTTTGCTTGTTTTGGACTTAAGCCAGGTTTTTCTCTTTGGCATTTTAGTAATGAATCTAGCCCATCTCTGTCAAAGTCATCTTTGTTACCCTCTCCATGCTCACGGCCCAGAGGAAAGGAGAGCAGCTTTCAAATTGGTGCGCGCACACACACAGGGCCACGCATACTGGTGTGGCACTAGTGGCCCCGTTCGAGCATGCAGCATGCACAGGCATGTGTGAATGGCCGCGCACCCTCCCGTGGCAGCTAAAGGCCCCATTCACGCACGCACCAATGGGCCGTGCACACCCACCCAGTGCTAGCAGCCCCGTTCACGCCTGCACACATGCCCAAATGGGGCTGTGGGCGCTAGCACGTGGGGGGAATGCGCACCCACGTGTGCGCGCACCAGCCAGCCATTTCCACGGCCCACTGGCCAAGAGCCCACAGCCCAGTCCCAGGCCACGGCCCATAGGTTGGGGACCCCTGCTCTACAATAACTTTCCAAAAACAGAACTGGACCAAATGCACCAGAGAATGTGGCAAAAGAAAAAAACAAGATATTTATTCTAACTCGCGTGCAATACCAAACCACAAACCCCTAGAGTGGCTCATTTTGAGGTTCTGCACATACCTTCTCTGTCTCCTAAATTTATTCTGGAGTGGCTGCAGGGGGGGGAGAAAACAGTGGGCTACATTTGGAAAAGTGAATTGGAATATAGAAGGAATTAAGCCTCCTCTCCTCTTGACATGCCCTTGTCTTGATGAGCATTGCATCCACACAATTACATATTTGCCGTTCTGCCCACACGGTATTCAAATCTTATCATCGACAATGACAGCAGCAGCCCCAACAGGCAGGCCAGTCACCTTCTATACACACGCAGAGTTAAGATGGAGAACCAGCAGTTTGTCCACCAGAGAGGCAAGAGGAACTTTTTTACTCACCATGCCTGCCAAAGCAAGGAGCGACACCTGCACTTGAGTCATGTTTCCGCTCTCGTACAGATCGTTGGCTTCAAACAGATCGACAGGCTTCAAGCCATAGCTAAGTAGGGCCTTGATGAAGTTGGAGAGATTCTCCAGCTGTTGGAAGAAAAGAGAGGGGACAGTCCTCTTGGATGAGAAGTGGAACATTTCCAAAGGGAAAAAAAAAGCACTTTGGGGACAGTATAGACAAACGAAAATACTTATTTACATAACGTGTAATTCAACTTTGGAATTAGCAACACCACAAAATTCATGGAAATTATAGAGATAATGGCTATTAGCCTTGATGATAGAGGAACTGCAAGTTTTTAAGAAGAGACTGGTCAGCCATTTGTCTGAAATGATATAGGGTTTCCTGCCTGAGCAGGGGGTTGGACTAGATGACCTCCAAGGTCCCTTCCAACTTTTTTACTACTACTACTACTACTACTACTACTACTACTACTACTATTACTACTACTATTACTACTACTACTACTATTATTATTATTATTATTATTATTATTATTATTATTATTATTATTATTATTATTATTATTATTATCTGCCTCCAAAGGCCATCTGCTAGGAGACTGGATTTCCTTGGGCAGTTGATGGACCACTGTGAAAACAGACTGCTGGACTAGTTCGTATGTTGTTTGAATCTCATTTGTCCATAGCTCTGGTCTCATGATCAATAGAGATAGCAATAGCACTTAGATTTATATACTGCTTCGTAGTGCTTTTTTACAGCCCTCTCTAAGCAGTTTATAATGTTAGTATATTGCCCCCAACAATTGGGGGCCTTACTTTACTGATCTCAAAAGGATGGAAGTCTGAATGAACCTTAAACCCCAACAGGATTGAGCTCCCGGCTGCGGACAAAGTTTGCCTGCAATAGTGCATTTTAACCAGTGCGCCACCAGGGCTCCCAATGTGCAACCAATGTGCACACACACACAAAACAAAACACGATGCAGTTGCTCTTTGTATATGCAGAATTGCTCAGGCAACTTTTGGTAGCTGTAACCAAGTAGAAAAGAATCCTCTAAAAATATGGGACATGGTCCAGATGACAGGGAGAACCTCTGTCTGCAAGCAGAATCTAAATACCTGGATCCTGATGGGGTCATCTCAGTGTTTTGAATTTATCACAGAGTTTCCAAAATTAAAACCTTGGCTGTATTAATTTGCTACTTCTGAATAGGCAGGGTGAACACTGCCCACCTTTTTTCAGACAACTACCCCAAAGGAAATAAATAAGGATTAACCACAGGGTAAAACAAGGTTTAGATTTCAGTGGTTGTATCACAACCTTCTCTGACCTGGCACCCCCCCCCCCCAGAGGTGTTGAAAGCATTCCCAGAATCCTTAGTCCCAACACAACATAGCACACCTGTTTGGAGAAAGCTGCTGTATCACCTTCCACTAAAACTGATCTCACTCAAAGAAACAAATAAGACAAAAACAAATGTCTAGCTCGGTGGAAAATGCCTATTTAAAAAACCCAGAAGGCAGCCAGACCGTTGAACAAGGTTTTCAAAGGTGGGATTTCAGCATAATCCTGGTCCCTCCATGACCAGCAAAACCAGTTAGGCAGATTGGTTCAGCCCACGCCCCAGGTATTCTCTTTTGGCTCTTTCTTGCTTACAAAATAGCTCAGGAACCACAGAGACACATAGTAGTCTTAGAAGATTTGGCGGGGACACTGCCTCCCATAAGGTGACCAACCGTCCTCCTTTTGTAAGTTCTGTCCTCCCTCGAAAAGTGTCCTCCTTCATGTCCTCCTTTTCGATATTTGAAGACTAATCTGCAGGGCTTTTTTTTCTTTCTCATAGAACGCTCAGAACTGCGTTCCGGCACCTTTTTTTGATGGGTTTTTTTTTTTCAACTTTTGCATGAGCTGTGCTACTCCCACTATTGGCTTTCGAAAGCCAATAGGAATTGCTGCTGAGTGCGCCAAAACACCCGGCTGGCAAACTTTGCACATGCAAGTTGTCTGTGTTATTGTTGCAATGAATAAAATGTTTCTTTTATTTACGATATTTTTTTCTTCAATTTATTTGTGTCCTCCTTTTCATTGTAAAAAAGTTGGTCACCTTACAAATACAGCTTTCCTTCTCTGACAGGCCCAATTCATGAACTTGGCTGACCAATCTACAGATACATCCAGTTCAGAGTTCTGTTTCTAGTCCAGTGGTTCTCAACCTTTTTAATGCCGCGACCCCCAACCGGTCGTAAGTTGAGGACTAAACCGGTCGTAAGTCGAGGACTAAACCGGTCGTAAGTCGAGGACTACCCAACCGGTCGTAAGTAGAGGACTTTCCCTGCCCGGGAGCGCCACATATGCGTGGTTCCGCCCCCTGCGCCGGCCGAGGCGTAGCTAGCAAGCGGCAGAGACAGAGCAGGCCGACCACCAGCTGGCCCAGCTCAAGGGAGGTAAGGCACCCGCCGGAAAAGGGGAAAAAAATGGTGGACAGCCTTGCTTGGTGACCCCCGTGAAATGGTCGATCGACCCCAAATGGGGTCGCGACCCATAGGTTGAGAACCGCTGTTCTAGTCCAATTGCCTGCAAACTTTCCAGCAGAGCGTGAAGGCTGAAGTGGCTCTTTCCCATTTCCTGGTTTCCAGGATTTGGTTATTCACTGATAGACTGCATCAGCTCTTGGAAGTTCCATTTAGAATTAACCACAGGCAGTCCTCGGCTTTATTCTGCAGCTGCATTCCGGCCTGCATTTTGCAGTCAAACCTTCCAGAAGGCCTCTGCAGCCGAGTACCGAGCTGTGGATTCAATACATAGCTCGGTTCTTGGCTGCAGAGGTCTTGCAGAAGAAGTGGACCGACTGGGCAAGGCTGCCGGTGCCGGAGGTGAGTAAGACTTCCCCCGAAAATAAGACCTGGTGCCTCTTTTGGAGGCAATAAATAAATAAATAAGACCCAGTTTTATTTTTGGGGAAACATAGGTGGGCAAATGAAACCCTCAGAAACTGATTCTCCTTGAAAGCCAGCTTATTGGGCAGGATCTATTATATACCAGGATTGGAGTCTGCAATATGTCTACATTACATTACATTACATGTGCAAACACAGAGAAACATGTTCTGACTCCATACATGGTTGCTTAATCATGGCTTGCATCCCATTTTTTTAAAAAAAATCATTGCAATTTAATTTCCCGTCACTGCAGGCAAGTATTTACCTGATGCCAGTTGAGAGAAGAGGTGTTGATTTTCTTTATTGAACCAGGCTGTAGTTTGTTTATTAATCTGGGGAGTAAAACACAGTTTCAGCTAGATTTAATGCAGTTTTAAAGTTACTTGCAGATATCACAATGGGAATGAAAACCGTGTTTACACTATTACCTGTAGAATGAATTCTTTCCAATGTATGTGCAAACTAGAAGGCAATTTATGTTCCAAAATCCATTTCACTCCCAAATTTTACAAGCAAGAAGGAAGAAATAATAGGAAAACCCACAAAAGTGACATTACAGGCAAACTACTTATTTAAAAAAGGGCACGTAAGAAAAAGTACAAAAACGCAGAAAAGTACATATGCTTATGTACTAATTTTTGTGTGGATTTCCTAAAAATAAATAAACAAATTGGTGCAGCGATGGAACGAAGCCAAGTGAAAGCAGACGAGAGTGGGGGGGAAAAATGAAGCAACATCAGAAACAAAAGCAGAACAAAATCATTAGGCTCTATAAATTATTTTTCCATCATATGAAACATTATGTCTTTCACCATCTCGTAACCAAATGCCACACAACCCTTTAAGCATTCCGGGCCACTCCCTGTCTCCATAAACCCTTTTGGGAGCAGCTCACTGGCTCTTCCTGAAAAGAATACAATTTCTTAGAACACATCCCGGAAGAAGTTATGGAATAATAACAGAAACGGTGCTTCAAGGTATACGTTCCTCTTCATTTGGCCTACTTACTCGCAAAGTATGACGCCATCTTTTAGCCCCTTCTGGAAATCAGGGCCAATCTGCCTCCCGGTGAGGTTTTCTATCCATACCCGTAATTCTGCTTCCTTCTGTGGGTCATATTTCTGGGCAAGCTGAAAAGAAAAACAGGTCCAGTTTGAAAAGAAAGCATTATCCATGATCTTAGAAATGTATTACAGGTAGTCCTTGACTTACGACCGCAATGGAGTGCAAAATTTCTGTTGTTAAGCAAGACAGTTGATAAATGAGTTGTTCCCCATGTAATGACTTTTCTTGTCACAATTGTGAAGTGAATCATTACAGGTGTTAAGTCAGTAACACGACTGTTAAATGAATCTGGGCTTCCCCACTGACATGGCTTGTCAGGTAGTCACAAAAGGTAATTGCATGACCCCGGGAAATGGCAGCTGTCGTAAATATGAGCCAGTTGCCAAGAATTTGGGAATTCTGCAAATGATCTGAAGTATGAAAAATGGTCATAAATCACTTTTGTCAGTGCCGTTGTAACTTCAAACGGTCAGTAAAGGAATTGTTGTAAGTTGAGGACTACTAGTATTACTACTATTACTACTACTACTACTACTACTATTAATAATAATAATAATAATAATCTTGTGAAGATCTTGTGGGACTTTCGAATACAGACAGATCGCCATTTGGAACACAATATGCCGGATATCGCAGTTGTAGAGAACCAAAGCGTACAGCTGATTGATATCGCTGTACCAGGAGATGCCAGAGTCGAAGAAAAAGAACTGGAAAAAATTACGAAATATCACGACCTGGCCATCGAAACTGTGCGATTATGGATGAAACGTGTAACGGTAGTACCCATTGTCATCGGGGCACTGGGAACTATGTCCAAAAACTCTGCAAAATACATCAAGAAACTGCAGCTTCCTGCAATAACCCCAGCAATGTTACAAAAAAACTGCGTTACTCGGAACAGTTTATATTTTAAGGAGGTACCTGGTTGACACCTAGGATGCTGGTAGCAACCCGTGTCAACCATCAGCGCCAGCCAATTTGAATGTTCAGTTGACTGAGGTTCATGTCTAATGAATAAAAGATAATAATAATAATAATAATAATAATAATAATAATAATAATAATAATAATAATAATAATAATAATAATAATAATAGAAAGGGACCTTGGAGGTCATCTAGTCCAACCCCCTGCTCAGGCAGGAAACCTTATACCATTTATAATTCATCTTGATCACTTATAATTTATCTTGATCACTTGTCGAGCTATGGACTGCAAGGATAGTGGGATTAGGAAGAAGAAGCAACTGAGAAGATTCATATCTCCTGGGAGGAAGGAATGAAATTAGTCTTGACTTATGACCAGTCACTTAGCGACTGTTCAAAGTTACGCCAGACCTCCCCAGACGTATTTATGATCCAGATTCAAAGTTCCGATGACTACCTCCATCCTCCCCCCCAAGTCACAGGATTGCATTTTGGGTGTTGGCAATTGGCCTACATTTACTGTTGTTTGCAACTCCCCACATGACTGCAATTTATGGTTTATTTGTTTTTTGCCAGAAACAGAGCATTTATTTTTGCTTTTCAGGAAAAACTGCCTACTTCAGACAATAGATTATCTTAATAACCGCTTTTTGTTTAACAACTACAGAGTTTGCTTAATAACTCCTGCAAAAAAGATGGTACAATTGGGTCTGATCACATAAGTGGCTCACTTATCAACCAGCACAACTTACGACTGTAATTCCAGGTTTAATTATAGTCTAAGTTGAGGACTACCTGTAAATGGGGCTTTACATCAGAAGATTAAAAAAAAAAAAGGAAATGTAATAATTTGCACAAGGATTATGTCAAGTACTAAATAGTGATACTACCTGTGCACTGTTCAATTAGGGTGAAACAGTTCCTGATTTATAGTAATTCAGATGCGGGACTATATTCATATATAAAGACTATTCCAGTGTATATTGGATTCATCAATTGCAACTGCTAAATCCAACACATTAGATTTAGAATTTGGAACTCTCTTAGTAGGTTGTAGGAATGCTGTAGATGCAATATCCTAAACCAGACAAAGTACAGATAGTCCTCAACCTACGACCACAATTGAGCCCAAAAATTATGTTGCTAAATGAGAAATTTGTTAACTGAGCTTTGTCCCATTTAACGACTTTTCTTGCCCTATTTGTTAAGTGAATCGCTGCAGTTGTTAAATTAGTAACACGGCTGTTAAGTGAATCTGGCTTCTCCATTGACTTTGCCTGTCAGAAGCTTGCAAAAGGTGATCACATGACCCCGGGACACTGCAACCGTCATAAATGTGAGTCAGTTGTCAAGCATCCGAATACAAATCATGTGACCATGGGGATGCTGCAATGGTCGTAAGTGTGAAAAGTGGTCATAAGTCACTGTTTCCAGTGTTGTTATAACTTCAAATGGTCACTAAACAAGCTGTTGTAAGTCAAGGACTACCTGTACTAGACAACTTCTAGAGAAGGAAACTCATTTTAATTCTTCATAGCGTAACAGCAATCAACCAAGCATCCCAATGCAAGTCACATGACCATGGGGATGCTGCAACGGTCATTAAGTGTAAAAAAGGGTCATAAGTCACTTTTTTCAGTGCCGTTGTAACTTCGAACGATCACTAAACAAACTGTTGGTAAGTCGAGGACTGTCTGTATTCCATCATATTCAAATTAGTTTAGATGTGGTCTAGTTATACAGTACGTATATATAGACTCCCTCTTCTTTGTGGTAGCCCCTGAGATACTGGAAGACTGCTATCATGTCACCTCTCGTCCTTCTCTTCATTAAACTAGACACACCCAATTCCAGCAACTGTTCCTTATATGTTTTAGCCTCCAGTTCCCTAATCATCTTTATTGCTCTTCTCTGTACTCTTTCTAGAGTCTCAACATCTTTTTTACATCGTGGTGACCAAAACTGGATGCAGTATTCCAAGTGTGGCCTTATCAAGGCATTGTAAAGTGGTATTAACACTTCACGTGATCTTGATTCTATCCCTCTGTTAATGTAGCCTAGCACTGTGTTGGCTTTTTAGGCAGCTGCAGCACACTGCTGGCTCATATTTAAGTGACTGTCCACTAGGATTCCAAGATCCCTCTCACAGTTACTATTAAGCAAGGTACCACCTATACTATACCTGTGCATTTGGTTTTTCTTGCCTAAATGTAGAACCTTACTTTTTTCACCATTGAATTTCATTTTGTTAGGTAGCTAGCACCCAATGTTCAAGTCTGTGGCATAACAAATACCCTGGAAGTCAAAATCAAGAAGAAAAATCTATCCAGGCTGCCACTAAGAGCTGACAATGACTGGAAGGCATACCATCAATTAATCAATAGAAGTTGAAAATAAAATTCAAAACAATACTGGTACTAATAGAAAATAATATTTGTAGCTTGGTGCTCTTTGAACATGGGAGTTTTTTTGCAGACGTTTCATTACACAAACTAGGTAACATCATCAGTGCTAGGATGATGGTATTACCTAGTTTGGTTAATGAAACATATGGAAGAAAACAACCATGCTCAGAGAGCACCAAGAGCCCCACAAAACAATAGTGGATCCAAAACTAAGGTAGTTGTTTTCAGGAAGAGGCAGACTAGGTCAAATTGGAGGGAACATATAAATCAAGTTAAGTCCTACCTATACTTAAGACTTGCTTTTACAGCTGCAGTTTGCTGGGTCCCGCATTTTGAGAAGAGTTATTTAAGGGCTACAGCCTATGCCAACACTATAAGGCAACTCTCCAAACATAGCTACTCAGGTTTTCTAATTCCACTCATAAAGATATAACAGCAAAATAGTCCCAAAGATCACATATGGTGCAGAACATATAAATGCCTCCTTACTGGAACTTTTCTGAAATGTATCTTAGGGGTAGGTAAGTCTACCCCATCTCCAGCAATAAGGGCAGAGTTGGGTATACCTGTACACAAAGTAATTTAGTAATTATTCAATTACTGGCTGAAGAGCCTATTTATGGACCCAGATAGATTACCCAAGCTGTGTTTTGTTTTGAAGAGCAGTTGCATAACACGCTTCCTGGCACTGGGGCCGCCCAACTTTCAAATGTCAGCTCACAATGTGGATTCTCCATCCAGTTCATGGTCCAATCGGATCTAAAGGCCAAGGAAGCTTTCAAACAAAGCCTCATTGATGTGGCTGCGCAAGATGACATTGCAGCACTTAATTATGTCAAGACTTTGAAGTGTCTGACTGAGCAGAAAGCAGCCTCCCAGTTAGAAAAACATTTAACAAACTGGTATGCCTCAACATTTCGGAAGAGCTTTTTTCCAGAGCTCCTTTCGAACAAGCTAGACTTCGTGGTAAGACATGGGAGGTTTCAAGGAGTCCCATTTGAAGAAAGACTGTGCATTTGTGGAGCACCAGCTGTTCAACACACTGGATTGCAAACTGTACTCTGCAAAAAAGGATTATTAGATTATTATTTTTAAAAAATTGGGGCAGCCAGGAGAAACTATCTTAGTTTTTGCAGGGAATGAAGTTGCATATGACTAGTAAGGCTGAGCTCCTTATATCAAAGGCCATTTTGAATAGGACTTAGATCAGATTGGGGTTAGCTGTAGGGAATGAAAATTACTATGAACATGTTGTATTTTCTTTTTGCATCTATTTGTATATTTGTATTAGTTTTATAGTTTTAATATGGTTAAATAATTAAATCAATAAAAATTCCATTGTATTGTATTGAATTGTATTCCATTCCATTCTGTAACAATAGTGGACCAAAAATAACATAGTTTTAAAGGTATAAATTCAAGGTTGTTCAGGCAGAAAACAGAACTCAAATGCAAAGGTGTAGGATGGGATGTCTATGGAGATTCCCAGTCATCCAGGTCATAGTTATCCCAAAGATGCTTTTTCACGAGGCAACTGGACTTTCTTGTTTTTCTTTGAAGACGTTTCGCTTCTCATCCAAGAAGCTCTGACTGAATGGTGGGAAATGGAAAGATTTATACTTCTGCAGACAGCTGTTCATTTGCATTCCCTTAGAGAGTCATTAAATCTACCTGGAGGCTTATCTTTTTATGACCCATTTTCAAAATTCCAACAGCCACATGCACGCACACGCA